TCTAACAAAGACATTTTCTCTCTGCAAGGATGCGCAAAGCGAAGGAAGCCTCCTAACAGCACACCGCAAGACAGAGCCAGCAGCCACGGCGTCCTCCTCGCTGCCCATCCCAAAGCAGCGCGCGGTGGCACTGCTGGAGAGCAGCTTTCAAACCCTTGTGTGGCTGACATGAGCGCACGGCTTTTCTCTGTGCAGGCACGGAGAAGCAGACCGAATGCAAGGGTTTAGCTAAATATTAGCTCTGATTTAAAAGAGAAGTGACAGCGAGTGCTTTCATTGTTTGGGAGCAAGGACTTCCAAACTGACCGCCGAAAGAGGCACAACCAGCCCCAGCAGAGGCAGTAATTAAAGGTAGCTGCAGCGCGAAGCAGTTACAGCACTAATACAGCAATGAATGGAGATTACGCTCCCCCTGCCGCGGCTCTAACACCAGCGCTCTTCGGTGGTTGGGCGTCCGAGGGAGCAGCCGGCTGCAGTCGCATGAAAAGCGCTAATTGGAGAGGAAGATTTGTTCCCATCTCGCTCAGCACACAGCCCAGCCAGCCTGCAGGAGGGGCAGCAGCGAGGCACGAGGGAGAGAGTGCTGAGGCCAGAAATGCTGTGCCGGCAGCCTGACCCCCAGCTGGGAGCAGTGTTTGTGCCTCAAAGGGTGAGGAAGGCTCACGTCAGAGTCAGCAGAGGGGCACAGCAGCCTTCGAAGCACCCCCATACTCTGTGGGGTCACTGGGGACCGTCCCCGTGCCCTCAGCTGATGGGACAGCCGTGCTGGTTAGGCACCGATGAGCACGGGGGGATGCTGTGCACTTCTGCCACGTGCCGGAGGGACTCCTGCAGCCTGGGGTGAGCGAAGGTGTCCACCTGCGGTTTGAGCCTCCTCCTGCTGATCCTGCAGCCCACCCGTGGGTCTGGAGGCCGCGAGCTCATAAAGCAGGAGAGCGAAGAGGAGCAGCAAGGGACGGCCCTCCTGCCAGCCCAGCAGTGCCCTCTCCTTGACAATTCGTCAGCTGCCACAAAGGGATGGCTCCTTAACGTGGGGTGAGACAGCTCGGGGCTCGTGTGGTACACGTGCCAGATCTCCAGATCCCTGCCAGGCCTGTTCTGCAGGAGGCAGAGGTTTTAGCCCTGCTCTGGAGGGATTCAGCCCCCGGATAATTCGGAACTGCCTCCTCTCCCGTCCCCTCCCGGTGCTTGTGGAGGCTCTGCCCTGCCATCAGCAGAAGGAAGTGCCTGTCTGTGAGAGGGGAAGATTGATCAGGCTGCGGACGCTGCCAAACGCATTGAGTCAACACCTGGAGAGATGAGGAAAGCAGTTTTATCCCACTTGCTTTGGTAACGGTGACGTTACGTGCTACTTGATACAAAAGAAGAGCCAGTATTTCCAAACTGAAGGGCAATTATTTAAACCGGTGTCTGTAGAGGATCTGGAAGTGCTTCCGAACAGGATCATCTGGCTCAGGAGCACACTTATCGAGGGCCCACACATTTCTTGATGGTTTTACCCCAGTCCAGACTTCCATTTAAAGAAAACCTCGGGCAAGGTTTTCAAATGCAGCGCTGTCCTAACTCCTGCCTGAAATCTGTATCCACCAGCTGGACTGGAGCTCGGAGCCAGCGCCGAGAGCTTTTGCAGACGCTGTGTTTCCAGCGAGAGGGAAGGAACAGTCCTGTTCTCCTCGCCGAGCGTGAGCTCTGGAGCCCCATCGTAATAATGTAAATGTCAATTGCTGAACCTCCAGCCGGCCTCTGTGGGTGTCTCTGGCACGGCAGTGCCTTGCCAAGATTGTGAAATATTAAATGAGGAGTCAGAGCCTAAAGAACAAAATTACGCATCTGAAGGCCACTTTCCAATACCCTTAGGGTTTGGCTCCGAACGCCCGTGACGTAAATGGGCACGGATTTATGGCAAACCCACCCTGGCACAGGCAGGGGACGGGAGGTGGCTCCTCCTCGGTACACATGTGCCCCTGCCTTGTGCTCCTGGTGGTGAGAGCACATCCACAAACCCCACCAGCACGGGGCTGGCTGTGTGCAGCTTGCAGGATCCAGGACCCTGGTGATATTTGGAGCCCCCCTTATCCCTCCAGTTTCAAGCAGGAGGTAGGGCTCCCAGGGCTACCCAGAGCCTGAGGCAGAGGATGGTGCTGGATGAAGGCTCCCCGTGCCAAGCTATTGCTTTCCCCATGGATCCATTCCATTTTGCCACGGGAACAGGCAGCAAGCTGCAGCACAGGGATACTGTAGGTGCATCCGAAAAGCCCCAGCTGATGCCTTGGTGCACCTGCTGGCACTGAAGTGGCTTTGAAAGCTTGAGCTTCACAGACCGAATCTGCCTGAAATGAAATAAGGAGGCACTGCCAGAATGGCAGAGACATCCTGGAGAGCGGGCAGGAAAACAGAGAGGGTGCAGAGAGGAGAGATGCCGAGATACTGCGGGCTGCAGAAATCCAATTCCCTGTTAAATTGGAAAGAGGCAGTGCTTTGGAGATAATGCTGATAGGGGAACATCTCAAACAGAGATGAGGCTGCGGGTTGGAGATGCAGAAAGGCACTCATGTGTATACACAAGGGCATGTAGATGGAGATGATGGAGAAAGCCCGTAAGAGTAATGTTGGAGAATATGGAAATTAACACAAAAATCAGCCTGGGAAATTCAAACAACCAGCGCGACGCAATGGACCGGGTGCGCCTGGAGCAGCGAGCTACCCAGTGCTCTGCAGCTACACCAGGGGGGTGCAAAGCCTGAGACACGGGGAGCAGCCGTCAGGATCACTCATCTCTGGAGGCTTTTTAGGAGCTGTTTTTGCAATTCTGCACAGTTACTCTGCAGGATGTGCACCCCATCCTCCAGTGACGTCCACCCTTTAGGGGACAGCACCTTTAGCACAGCGCAGATGCTAAACACGTTTACTGAGTGCAGTGCAGGCATCAAGCACCAAGCCCGGGGCTGTCTGTGCTAGTCCTGGGCTGCTGCAGAGCACAAGCGTTAGCGGGACTTGGGCTGTAAGAGGGTGAAGAGGTCCTGCTGGGATGGATGGGGTTATCTCCACTGCTGTCAGAGCTCTAAACGGATGCTGCTGTTCTTACAAGGAGCCAAGGAGGCTTTTGTGGTTGAATGGACGGGTAAGGAGATTTTTAAGTACCCTTCTTAGTCATGACATGACCCACGAATCAAGGGCTCCTGATGATCTTTTTCTTGAGAAAAAGCAAAAACAGTGACACAACCGCAGGGTGTTGGGATGTGAGATCAGAGGCAGCGGTTGCCCTTGCCTCAAGGAGGCAGGAAAGCAGCTTCCAGTGCACTGCATGCCAATGCCTTGGGCCCACCAAAGGGGTTAAGGGCTGACAGGTCCATGTCTCGTTAATCCCAGCTCTTCCCACCCTGCATCTCCTGGAGCAGCTCAGGAACAAACGTGGCCCTTCGAAACTGCATTGCTGGCCGTATGAACTTCACTACGTGCTCGTGTTGTGCTGCTAGCCCTGCTGGCTTCTGCCACACAGCTCTTCTCAGGAAGGATTGCTTCACTCACAAATCCCTCACAAGTATTTTTGACACCAGCTCTCCAGCAAAATTATTTCTGCGTAAACAGCCACTGTTCTCTGCTTGCAAATATTTCTGCGCCTGGAAACTCATTGAGTCAAGAGGGTCCCTGCAGCCTCAACACCTGTCCCTGAACTTGAGAGCATCATTTCTGAGCGGCGCCAGACTTTCCCCAGCCTAATTAGGGCTGTCTGAAGCCGAGCAGAAGCCGCCCGTCCCCGAATGGCCAGATGCTGCATTGTGCCGCTAGCCCGGAGAGAAAGCGAGCAACTTCGTCTGCACTGACAGAATTCCTAATGGAATAATTAAACTCAAATAATTCAATTAACATTGCAATTGAATAATCGTGTTTGGAGCATTGCTCTAATTGAGCGATATTTGTATTGTCCCGGCCGTGAGGATAGGCACGGTAGCCTTTTAGCAGGCAAAGGGAGACAGATGGTGCTAATGAAGGGCAGGAGATAAATGCGAGGCCACTGAATTAAGTGCTCTTTCTTATTTGGCCAGAGAAGAAAGTCAAGCCATTGTGATCCTGTTGCCTTTAGAAGCCTGACTTGGTAACAGAAATAGAAGGGGCTCTGCAGGATTGCCGGAGTCTGCTCTACCATTAATTACTTTTTATTGAAAGCTCGCAGCCTGCCTGGCGTTGCGTCGAGGCGGCAGCCCTGGTCTCTGCCCAGCGAGCCGTTATCTTAATCCAGCGCTGCTTCAGAGCTCAGACGGCAGCAGCGAATGGGCAGCTAAGGCTTCTGGAGGAATTTCTGCCTCCCTTAGCAACCTGAAGGAGCCTGCAGCAAGTGTCAGGCCAGAATTCGGGAGCCCAGATCTCAGGAACGTAAAACAGGGACAAAAATAAAAAAAAAACATGCTTTAGGATGCCACATTTGTAGTACGAGGTGTAGCTGCGCCTTGGGAGGCTGCAAGCACAGCAGAATTGCCCTGCCAGCACAGCTCTGAGGAAGAACATCCAAGGTAGCTGCCTCAAGCTTGGTCCAAGCCATCCCACTAACCTCCCTTCCCCCAAAACAAAGGGTACTGGTGAGAGCATAAAAGCCAGAATTTCCCGTTGTTGCCCCGGCTGCTGGCTGTGTGTCCATCCCTCGAGGCTCAGGCAGGTGGTTAGCCATGGGAGAGCAGGGAGTAACCAAACAAAAACTACAGCTTACAGTTGTGCTCGCAGACAATTTAGAGATATAGGTGCCCAAATTCATCATGCAGCCTCTGGTGCTGGGAATGGGAGGGCTGACAACATGTTTTTTTTTGTAGCAGCACATTCAGGTCTGCTAAGTCACTGCGAGCATCACACACATCACCTCCAGCTACCCTGACCTGGGACCACTGCTCTGTTCTTGTACCACGGATCTGCCCATCTCCTCTCCCCAAGCAATTTCAGTCTTGTTTCCCCACTCCCAGAGCTCTCTAAGCAATTTAATTTGTTTTGGCAGAATTTCTTAAAAAAGGCAGCTGATACGATTATGCTGTTTGCAGCTCCTTTCCCCTCCCACTCTCGGTAACTTCTGAGCTTGGTGTTTAATTACTATGAGACCTCTACGCCTCTATCAGCATTAGCTGGATTTATGTTTTTACACCCTGCATGTCAAGAAGCAACTAGATGGAAAAGAAACCCACTTGTGCTCCTACATCAGGGGAAGGCAGGGCACAGGTTCTGGCTCTATCATGGATCAAGATCCACAGGGACTACAGCTGCAGCCTGCTTCTGCAGGAGAGCTCTGGCCACCAAGGTCTGCGTTAGGTTCTCCTGCATCTAAGGGTTGGAGATCTAAAACCTAAGCTGGTAAGAGGCAGAAAGAGAACACAGAAGCAGGTCTGCTCCTTTGGATAGCGAAGGTCTTGCTGCAGAGTAAGTCATGGAACCGAGTTCAGGCTCCTTCAAGAGCCACAGCAGTGTAAGCGTGAGAGAGGACAAACACGTCCTTGTGACTGGAAAGCCACATGACGGTGACGAGTCTGCTTCTGACTCACAGCAGAAGCAGCGCTGTAATACGCCACCGCTGGCCTGCTCTGACCACCCCAGTGCCCAGGCAGAACCTCAGCGTTTGTTCCCTCCAGGATCCCATTTTCCCACCAGGAGAGCACCTCCAAAGCACACACTGGCTGGTGGAAAAGCAGGCGCTGCTGGCTTCAAGAATGCAGGCTTCAAATTCCCTTGTTTTTTCTTGAAGAAACCCCAGACCGGTTGATTTTGCCTCAGACTGAATGATGGATTGCAAGTAGAGGGAAACAACAGAAAGTTCCTCTGGGCACAGAAAGGACTCAGAGTCTTTATCTCCTCTCTTTGATCCAAGCTGAATTTTCCAGTTGTGCTGCTGGTCCGGAAGGGGTGAAAAGAATCAATTTATTTGCAAAGCCCAATTTACTGTTGGGCAGCTATTCACTGGCTGATATGAAACAAGCCCATTTGCACTTGGAAAGGCTTCCGCAGCCCAGAAGGCACACCGACCATCAGCTGTCAGCCCTGCTGCCAGCAGCTGACTGCAGGACAAGGAACAAGCTGCTTTCCCGGAGCCCCCCTGCCAGCAGGCTGCTGCCCGATCTCCTGGGCCAGGTGCTGAGAGAGGAGGCAAAGGGCTGGCTTCAGCTGCTGAACAGCCCCAAGCCTCACCAACTCGAGCAGCAACACTTTGTCCACTCAAGCATCCTTTTTTTTTCCTTCTCTATTTTAACAGGCATGTAACCAGCAAGTAGGTTCTCTCTTTTGAGAGCTTTCCTCCATTTTTGCCACAATGCTGGACACTGGCTGTTACACAGAGCACATCTTTGGAAGAAGGAAAACTATAATAAACTCATACATAAGTGGTATTTAAGCTGGTCCACAATGCTTCAAGGGAGAACAATGCCAACAGAAAGAAATCTAGCTTGGTAAATGCTGCCCAGGAACATCCCCGACCATCCTTCCGCTGCACTGCACAGCCTTCATTAACTTACAAATGAATTCCTCCTGCGTCTCATGGCTTTCTTCAGCTGTTATTATTCCAGCCTCCAAGGACATAAACAGTTCTCTTGATTTAAGGAACTAGCCTGAGATGCTGCTTGACTATGGCCTGGGGAGGGGCAACAGCATCGGAGAAGATGTTTTATTCAAGAAAACAAAAAAACCTACTTCCAAATAGAAGCAGAGGTCTTATTTAAGCCCACGGAGCATAAGCTGGGGAATTCACAGTTCCAGAGAACAGCAGAGACAGGGTGTTCTCATTCAGGACCCACAGCACAGCAAACAGTTGATCAACTTCATCTCTCTTATCTGAGTGCTGCTCCAGACAACCTTCTGGATGATGAAACCCTGGCTCTTCATCCAGGAGACATCCTGGCCTGGAGGCAGCACCTTGCTGCAGGATAAGAACAACCCTAGTCTCATCATTTATCTTAGATTAGTATTATTTATTTTTAATTAGATACAACTAAAACATGCTCTAAATGGGGAAAAGGACGGAGGCAAGAAGGCACACACACGTGGTCCTTGCAGCAGAGGTGGCACTCAGCGTTGCAGCGCGGCGGCTGGCACCACACACTTCACGCACTAACTCTGCCTACCCTGAAACAGCCGCAGCAAGGACGGCACAAAGTCAGGCTGCATCTGCGAGGGTTTGTGGTCTGCAGCCACGTTTCCCCCTCCTCCCGCACCGCTTCTCCTTTCTTCTCATGCTGATGAAAGTAATTGCTGTGTGCCACCTTGGGCTGACCCTGGAGCGAGGCAGGGTTCCCGGCTCAATAGATCTGTGCAACCTTAGCTCTCAGCTCCTCTTGGAGACCTCATAGCTATTCCAAGCACACTTCCCTTCCCACAGCTTCTCTTGGCCCAGTATTTCTAGGGCTGGTGACACTCTAACAGAGGTACTTAATCTGTCCTGAGCTCTGTCTGCTTCGACCTTTCCCTTCAGCATAGTGATTTTAAGGAACCTCAATAGTTTCCCTTTCCTCCCTACCATGCTTTTGCCCAGCATCCAGGCCAGGTGGCGAGGTACTAAAGGCAAATCACGATGAGGGTGGTGCTTGGTGGCACACTCAGTGTTTTCTTGGGGCCACCAGAAGCCACACAGCCTGCTAAATCACACTGACACTCAAACCTTCTCGCAATGCCCACGACCCAGAACAAAACCAGGAACATTGCTCACCTTGTCAGAGCTTCCCACATCGGCCATCACCCAATTACTTCTTGAATCACCCGGGCACAATGCAGACAGCCCCAAAACCAAGACAAATCACATATCTTCCAGCCACCTTACTGCTCCTTGCACAGCAGTCATACCCCCTTTGTTTTTTCCGCCCATGAACACAGCACAGACTTTCCCTGCTCACTCTACACTCATTTAACCCCCCAGCTGGGGCCCTTTGACTCCCAGGTACCTGAAATCAGCTCAGGTGAGACCAGGCAGAGCTGGCTGTCCCAGGTGAAGACAACCCCTGCCTCCCCTTTATGTATTTGCCTGCTTGCCTCAACACCTGGGGCTCTGCCTGAGGGATAAAGCTGCAGGAACCCGAGTCCTTGGGGAAGAAAGTTGCTGTTCAGGAGAACCCATCGCCTGCACCCCCAGCCTGAGAAAAAGGCGTCATCTCCTTAAAATTTAACCAAATCCGCTGTTATCCATCCCCATTCCTATCCCACCCCTTTTTATGCAGCTTTCCAATGGGTAAAGAACTTTCCAGAAGAATTTTCTTCTCTGCCTTGCAGCTGCAGGAGACAGGCGGCCCAATGCAAGTGAGCTGCCTTAGCAACCTTTGCTGGGTTGTGATACCACCAAGTTAAAATAACTTGGATTAAAAAAAATACTGATCAACATCAGAAGCGAGCTGACAGGCTGCTGGGATCCACAAAGGAGGCTAATAATTAACGAGAGATGGTCTCCGAGGATTGTAGGTGGACAGCATCAGCGAGCGTACTGGTAAATTCCTATGATCTTCTCTTCAGAAACGAGTGCATGAAGACAGGAAAGAGATGAAAAGGAGACCTTGAGTTGAGAAAGGCCAAAGTGGTCAAAGATTTCATTGGATTGAGAGAAATATTCCAAAACCAAAGGCGTTCCTGTGTTGTCTGTGTCACTGTTGCCGTGGGCTGGATCTCAAAAACTTCTTTAAGTACCCTGCTGGGACACACAGAGATGTATCAGGAAGCACAAAGAAACTTTCAGGCTTTGGGAAAGGCTGAAATGCGGAACGATTCTGGCTGTTTCTGGATGGGCTCGCTGTTTGCACCAGGGTGGTGTGGGGCTGGCTGTGCTGGAGGAACAGACCCACGCTGGGTTTGTCTGTTAGAGGGGCCCCTTCCCACTTTGCCCAGGCTCCTTGCACAGCTCTGCCTTGGCCTGCAGCCTCAGACCTTCAATATAACTTCCCGATACACTTTGGGTTCTGCCCCTAGTGCCCTTCCATGCACGTGGAGCAGACAGAGCAAAGCTTCAGCCCTGCATTAGGCTGGGCGAGGAGAAGTGGGTCAGGCACTTTGCCAACATCTGGCACGTCCAGCCAGGCGCCGATGTGCCGAATGCCACCCTTGAGGAGATGGGTGAGACATGTCTGAATGTGGGACAAACTGGGGGAAGTGAGGTGAAGCACTTAGGGGAGATCAGTCCCCTGAAATGAGACTGGAACAAATAACTGCGAGGGAAAGGGGAAATGGGGCTGCTTGGCATCACGATCTGAATGCAAAATCTGCCTGAAGGGGATAGAATGAGTGAAGAGGGACAAACAGAGAAGTTGTCCCCTGTTCGTGCAGATTACAGGACAGAAACAAGCCACCCACAGCAGGTTCCAGGCACCTTCCCTGGGACCAAGAAGACAGCACAGTGACGTGGCAGCAGCTCCTGAAGGAGATCCCAGAGAATAAGGGTAAATCCAAGCTGCAGGCAGCACGGAGAAGAGGGTAAAGGTCTGCCACCAGCAGCAGGCCCAAAGGCACCCTCTGATGTGAGACGGTGCATGGGCAATGGTTGTGCAAGCCCACTGTCGAGCCACTGCCTGCATGTCTTGGTGCTGCTGCGTGCTCCTGCCATCAGGCTGCCTTGCTGTATACGCAGCAGCTCAGGCTGCCAAATATCCGCAGTAGGTACTGCTAAAAGCAGTCCCCTGCTGCCTGAGCGAGACAATCTGGGATGTCCTGGGGACAGTAGTTCACTGAGGGTTTCCTTTGTGTATTTGCGTCCCTCCTGCGAGGGGTGCTGGGAAGCTCGTTCTGCCCCCAGGAGCCCCGGCACGCACACAGCACTGGGGGCCAAGGCTAGATGGGAAAGACAGAAGTGATGCTGATCTTGTCGCCTTACTTTCTCCATATGCTGTAGGGCAGCGAGAGATCTGTCTGTATACCGAGTTAGTTATTAGATCCAGCTTGGCTGTTTCGGATAACCTTTATCTGGTGGGAAGCAGATACCAATAAAAGTGCTTCACACAATGGAAGATATATGTATAAAGTCTGGATACAAACTTTATGCTGAACAGCAAAAATATGAAGGAGTTCTCCTTTTAAAACAAATACAAGGCCTATAGCATGCTGCTACCTGGAGAATGATAGGAATGAGAACAGTCCAGAAGCTAGTCTGCACGTTTCAGGGAAAAATCTAAATTCAACAGCTCAACATGTAGGCAAAAGGGAATGTGAGGAGAAGAGAAACAGAGCAAGCCGGGCATTGTGCTTTAGCACAACACCATGGTTCAGATGGAAGGCAGGAACAAGTCAAAGTGGGAGCAGTGACTCTGCCACCACAACTGGAGGACACAATGCATGACCGAGGCAATCCAACAACCTGCAGTTTATCGGAATGCTACTGTAAACAGCCTCTATCTCATTTCCACAGCTACAGTACCCTCTAGTTAACTGCAATGCATTTAATCAAGATGTTTCTTAGGGAACCAAATAAAGCTTGATGATGCTTAATGGCTGGGGCTTAATGGCTGGGTTGTTTAACTGGGCTCATAATTTTGATTAATTAAGATGCCTGCAGGTGTTGGAGTGGTACTTAGGCAATAGCTTTGATGTTCAGAGGCAAAGGGGGTTTTGTATCCCCTTCAAAAGCATTTCTACCAGAGCTAGTTCAGCAAAGCAAAATTGCCTTCAAGCACTTGCAAAAAAGTTAACTCTCTTGTAGCCAGCTGTACCTCCCAGTTTTCTGGGAAAGTTAGCTTGCATGTCCCTTTGACCACCTTCATCTTGGGATGATCTGCAGATTATTATTATTTATTTATTTATTTTTATTTTTTTTCTAGGGTGGCCTCCATCTCCTTGATGAAAAGAAAGTAAGAACACAAGAGGATCTTCAGGTGGTGATGGCAGTTGACTTGATCAGAACAGCAACCTGCACATCTCTGGGCAGATGTTTCTACTGTCTTGAAAGCACAATAGTTTGTCCTTTTGAACACTAGAAAATATGAAGCCTGGCTTCTCATGAGCTTTTCCCCTGTGTTTGGATACCCTAACACTAGTTTTAGCGTTCCCCTCTAGCATGCCTTGCCCTGTAATATTGTCCTTATCCAGCTATGTCACCAACTCGTCCCTTTCCTCCCATGGACTGGTGAGGATGATCTATTGTAGCCTGGAATATGGATGTAGAGTGACTGGCCAACAGACAAAAGAAAAATACAAACCACAAAATACTCAAGAACTTTGCTTTAGGCAGAACTAAATTGTATTTCCCTCCCTTGTATTTGTATTCAGCAGCCAACTTTCTTATAAAACATATGTACCTTTGAGAATTTTGTCTCCTGAATGCAGATGAAATGTACCCAGGTTAAAAAAAGATATGGGGGAAAAACAGGACATGAATACCAGTGTGGCACATTCTCATTTCCTATTAGAAGGACTGGAAAGAGGCACAATGAGCCAATCTCACCTTTATAGTCAGTATCAAGCACTAACATTAAATTATGCAGAACTTATGATTGAAAGCTTAGGTAATTACTACATCCAACCATAAGGGGAATATTGCCTTGTGGATGGAGGACTGGAACAGGGCTCAGAAGAGCAGAGCTGTACTCTCTCCTTTGCCATGGACTTACTGAATGACCTTTGGCAAATGTTATGTTCACCTGTGTATAAATACAGCGTCAACCTTCCATTTTGTAATGTACATAAAAAATGCAACAGCATAACAGCATATTGTCTAGGGACCTCAAGGCAACCTTTTTTTCCAAGAAACAGCTTTACTGTAACTTCTTGGCAACCACACGCAGTACAAACTGAGTCAGGAGGAATGATCTCAGCCTCTTCGTACATCTGCATTGTTCCCCTCCACCATGGCTTCGTGGAGCATGAATAAGAGACATTCAAATGCAATTTATGGAAACTTTAGCAAATACAAACTGGAGTAGCCCCTTAGCAGCATATCCAACTGCTTGTAATGAATCATAGCAACTGAGGTACCCATTTTCCATGCAATCCAGTGCATTAACACTAAAGCAGAGGTTGAGCAGTATTATTCTGACCCAAGGAATGGGTTCACTTTAATGGAAGTGGTTGAAGCATGCAAACATCAGCTAAGTTTATCCTAGAGTTATAAGGAAGTATATTACAAACAAATGCTGAAAATTCTAATTGACCAGGAACATGTCTGAAAAAATCACCATCAGTATCTTTCATCCATCATAGAAAATTCATCCTCAGTTGTCTCAGTTCTCAGTCACAAATTTCCTGTCACAAATATAGCTGTATAAATACTATCCACCACCTAGCTAGTCTTTTATTATTATTATTATTATTATTATTATTATTATTATTATTATTATTATTATTATTATTATTATTATTATTATTATTATTATTATTATTATTTTATGCCAGGCAAATGCAGGACCCAAGCTATTTTGTTTTTAAAGTGATTACAAGATTTTAGTTAAGCATACTTAAAATCCATCAAAGTATAAGTCCTCACCTCTTTGATCATTGAGCATCTTTGCTTGCTGCATGACTAACAATGTTAAGTGAATGTATTTGCCCAGAAGCTGGTAACATCATGGTTACCCATCTCTGTTGCTCTAGATTAGACCTGAAGGGCAAAAGAAAAGCTCCTGTGCACTTCTGCCCTTTAAGATAGTGGTACTTTGTTATGCAAAGTTCCTCTCATTCCACGTTTAGGAAGTCTCTCAGGACACAATGCAGAGAAGGCAGAGTGAAAGGTAACTGGAACAGTTCATTAGAGCACATTCTTTTATTAATAGAAATCATAAGAACAGCTGGAGGGGCAGCAGGTGAATAGATGACCTCGAACCATACATTGTCAAAAATTGTTCAAAAGAGCCAAGTTGTTCAGCAATACAGTTGTAGTTGGTTACCTTGTTCTGCCAGGGTAAAGAAGCCTTCGAGGTGTGGATGTGGATCCCTGAAGAGCTTTGATTTTCTCACCAAATATCTAAGAGGGGTTTCTGAACTGGTCCCACTGCCAGTACTGGAGGCCAAACAAATTTCACTTGCAAGTCTTCTAACAGTAACTAAGAACCAGAGTCATTGACCAGAGCATCCTTGTGCTACTTACCAGCCATAACAAAAAAAATACTTTCCCTGGCTTACAGAATTTGTAATCTATCTTCTAATTCACAGAGCCTGTAACAGACTGAAGGAAGCAGGGTACTAACCAGATCAGTGCAAGAGCCAGACAGCCCCAGCTTACAGAACCTATGGGTGGTATAAATAAGTCTTTTTTCCTTCTGACCTACTGAATTTATCCAAGGATGTTCCCCTTGGACTGTTCACAGGGAACAATCTCCTATTTCAGGACTACTTAGATTTTGAGAAGACTTCAAATTTAGAGATTACTGTTTGAAAACTTTCTCCACTTCTCTATCCGTCAGGCAAAATTGATGAAATCAAACTCTCTTGTCATCCTCAAGGTGACTTCCAAGATCTCCTCCTCCGACAAGAAACGAGCTTTACCATTCTTGCTGTCTACGGGGCAAGGGAGATGCAGCAGCAGCTTCCTGTAAAAGAGGACACTGAGTTTTAATGTTCTGAACTATGTGAGCAATTAAGATGACATTGAAAGTTCCTCTTGCAATTCACCAATCAGTATACCAAGGAAAGTCCATTCAGTATATGCTTCTCATGATAGATTGTGGAGTACCTGCAATACTTGATGCACAGCTATACAGGCCCTGGAATATTTCCAACGCTTCCTTTCTTTTCTCTGTGGCTACGACAACAGCTTCCAATGATGGATTGTGAGCTCTCTCCACTGTTCTTGCTTATACATGATGCTGCATTTTAAATGCAGACAAAGAGCTGCATTGATTATGCTCTCCTGGTGGTAAAAATCTGAATAATGCCTAAAGCCTGAAAGCGTCTTTAGGAGCTTGTCTTATAAGAAATAACTAGCACAGCTGGAGATTCTGGACAGTCCAGTTCCACAAAAGATATATCTACACTGAAAAACACATTTACAAGAGTGAACTTACAGTTGTAAAGCTGCCGAAATTCTTTTTTGTAACCTACATTGAAGTGATCCCCTACCTTTGGCTCAGGCCTGTACTACACAAAGGTTAGATATTTGACTCAGGAGCTATTTGACATTCCCTTGCTATGGCAGACATTCCTGGAACGTCAGACAATACTTCTGGTTTATCTCCCCGTGAGGATGTCTAGGTCTGGACTCCTTCAACTCTAATAATAATTCAAGCTTACTTGCTCACGCAGAATCTGGACTCTTTCCTCTGTATCACAGGCTTATCAATTAATGGTATGAATGATTGGCCAGTCTTGGACTTCCACTGATTTGACAGTGCAAAGAGAACCAAGGAGACTTTAGAATAAAGAAATTTGCCTAACCAAGCACTATGAAGCCCCACAAGACAACACGGTAGTGTGGATAGGGGTTACTTCAAACTGGGGTTTAAAATCATGTTGACTCTTCCAGACCTTTTTGTCTGTGTAATAGCAGCCATGGATGAAAGCAGCACATTCCAAACATCTTTGCATCCCACCTACTGAAGGCAACAAGTTGTTATAATTTGGAAAAGTTCTTAAAATCAGCTGGGCTTAGAATCAACCCCAGGACTACAGAGTTGGAAACAATTCCTTTGAGCTTTTCCATACATCTGTGAGATCACAATGTTTTTTGGTGTGGAGAACTTGAAATCTTATTTGTTTCTTTCATACTGAGAAGATTTGCACTTAAATTTACAAAAGCAGCACTGGCTCAGGCTGTACCCAAGCAACCATTAGATTTACAACAAACTTTGATTTGCTAGGCTTGTGACAGCTGGATACTAAGATAATGGCAGATCTGACTCACCAAAAAGACAGAACTGCAAAAGAAAACGGAAGCTGAAGCTTTCCTACATCTGCAGTAGTGCATTAAGCTACCTCTTTTATTACCTACAGGTCATGCTAGTTATTAGCTGGACAATTATTCCTCCTGCTTTACCTGTTTCAGAGCCAGAACTTTCAAACATTCTTTTAGTACTGTTGCATCTTCAGGTTAAATTCGTGCAAGGGGTAACCGATTCAGGCTGGTTTTGTCTGTGAGAAAAGTGACTTTTCTGAAGTTAGTTCACTAGGGAGAGAAGTTATTTTGGCCTTAATCTATGGTGCACACCTTGAATTGATTTGCAGGATGCTATTCACATTTGAATCTTCCCACATCCCATTCAGTGCTGAAAGGTGCAGGTAGAGGGTCAAGCTTTCTTACGAAAACACTTTATTGTGAAGAACTTAGAGCAGAACAGACATGGCAATTACCTGTGCACCTCAGGCAGCGCAATTGCACAGAGGGAAATATGGAGGAAGATTGTGAGAAGCCTGCGTATAAGTCAGTCAGTTCATTATCTTCATAGTTTTGAAATAGCTAGCCCTGTAACAAACTCAAAGGGAATCTCTTCAGGGAAACCTCGTACCATTTCCATGTCTGCATCCATGCCTAGTTATCTGCAGAGTTTCAACACCTGAAAGTGTCTGTACATTTTTGAGCTCCTTCAGTTGTTCATTTGTACAAATTAGTATTTAAAAAGTGAATTTCCAAGAAGTCCTTAAAGACTGGGCAGTTTTTTTGCCAGACATTTTGGGCCCTTGAAGCCCTAGTGCTTAGATAACCAAAAATCTGTTTTAAAACTATTTTTGCTTGAATAGTATCACAGATTTAAAGCTAGCAAACTATAGAAATAAGGGTGAAATATAGTTGTTTATTTCTTCTTTGTAATTAATAATCCCATCATTGTCTTTAACTTTGATTTCCAGCATTCTCTTGGAGGCTTGGTTAAACTTTCTTTGAAATAATATATTGCTTGTACTTCCATCAATTACGTTTCACTTACTTTTGGGGAGTTCGAAGGTCAAGAACCTTGTCCTGGATATCTAATGTGATGTCTGAGACCTTTGTCTCTGGCAGCTTGATTTTAATCTGAAATGACAGGCAGAGGTAAAACTGTGATTAGAAATATAGACCTACAAGCCATAAAATACACCATCTCCACAAACATTTGATGCTAGTGTCAGAGCGACATTCTGAGTAGGTAATATGTATTAGAGAAAATATGACAAAACGATAATTGTTTACAATAGCTTAGTGATGTGTGCTGATACCTTAATTTTCTACAAAATCCGGGGATGATAGTATACTTGGCAGGTATTCTTTACCCACCAAAAGCCCCTGGATTTGTGTATTCCAAGGACAGCTTGCTTCAGCTAGAAAAATTGCACAGCAGTTATACCTGTCATGAGGTTTAGAAAGCAGGGAAGTCTTTGATCATATAATAATGGGACAGAATCTGTTCCCTGTAACTTTAAAAACTGTCATTACTATAGCATTGTGCTAACTCACACACGGTA